CTATAATACTATAATGCATCTCCTCCTCCTCCTCCTACCACTATAGAGCTATAATACTATAATGCATCTCCTCCTCCTCCCACTATACTACCACTTGACGCTGGTGAACACAACACCAATAACAAGACCGCACAGTGTACGCTGAGACAGCGCTATCTATCTACCCCTACCTGCTGTAAACAAAGAGACTCTATACAGGGCAGAGGACAACAACAACGACGACGACGATGCTGATGATGATGACAATTGGATACGAATCTTTAAGTAATCATACTAGTTCCAACTGCTTCTACTACTCCGTGTGCCTTCTTATCATGTCATGACGGCCAGGGCCAACTCCAATCCACGACACGGGAACACCAGTCCACTCCTCCAAAGCTTCTATGTACTTCTGAGCAGCAACTGGCAACTCCTCGAAAGACTTCACCTGAATGAACACTCATTAAATTACCATCACAGAATGAACTCTCACATTGCTAATATCGTCATCCCAAGCCTCCATCTCAGTGTACACCGGCTTAGCTCTTTCCAACTCCTCAATAGTAGAAGGATAGTACCCGTCCTCCAACTTCTTACCGTCGATCTCATACGCGGTGCATACCTACACAAGGAAGAGTGAGATTTGAGATTGGCGTGGTATGGGGTATGAGAGAACTGACCAGAAGTTTCTTAACACCGCTAAGGACGTCCAACTTAGTAACATTAAAACTGGTAAATCCATTGAGGAAGTTAGAGTACCTGGCAAAAAATAACATTCATGCAACGCTTCGCTCCGCCTTAATTCCCTTACTTAAGCACGGGAATATCCAACCAGCCGCATCTGCGAGGACGACCCGTGGTGGTGCCATACTCATGACCTTGTTCCCGAAGTTGAGTGCCATACTCATCAAACAGCTCAGTAGGGAATGGACCTCCGCCGACACGAGTAGTGTATGCCTACCATCCGAGAGGTCCCCGGTTCGATCCCTGCACTCGAGATCTCACCTTTACGACACCAATAATGCACTTAATCGATTGAGGAGGAACTCCCAAACCAGTGCACACACCACCAATAGTCGTGTTAGAGCTAGTCACATACGGATATGTACCAAAGTCAATGTCCAACATAGTAGCATTAGCAGCTTCCACAAGGATATTATAGTCCTCTGAAAATAACAACAACAAACATGAATAGCTTCGCTCCGCCTTTTTCTCATTACCACGTTGTGACTTTTGGATAGCCTTATGCATCATAGTAACACTGTCAACCACTTGACTCTTCAACAGTTCGGCGTAACCATGATAACGTTTAATCTCAGACTCAATGTCCAACTCGATATTATATCTAACATAGCAAAAATATCTTTAGGTCCCCCGACAAAGATACAAAATAGGTCACCTCAGCTGACACCACTCAAGTAGTTCGCGGAGCTTTCGATCAAATGTGGGAAGGTCCATCAAGTCACCAACCCTCAGACCGTTACGAGTCGTCTTGTTAGCATAACACGGGCCGATGCCGCGCTTGGTCGTGCCAATCGCCGTCGTGTTCTTCTCAGCTTCCTGGATGCCATCGATCTGATAGGAAAACCGTCAAAACAACACCGACAACTCCCCTATAAACCCGTCACTTACCATCTGATGGGCATCAAACAACAGACTAGCCCTATTGGACAAGTAAAGCCTCTTGAGGGCCTCGGCGTCATAGTCCTTCAACTGCTCTAACTCCTTGAGAAGAGTCGGCACATGTAGAACCTGAGCGACTTCTCCAGACTACCACAGCCTTCCTTAACATACCACTCCATTTCCAACTAAGTTGTCACATTGCTTGTTCACAATACCACAAGGGAGGAGATGAAAGGCGAACTTCTGATTATCAACCACCAAAGTGTGACCTAAAACGGACCTATTCTGTATCTTACCCGCTTGAACCTAAGATACCCCCCTTACCAGCATTAGCCCCTCCATTGAACCTCGCACACAGATTAGCCCGTTGAGCCAATATATCTACCAACTTGCCCTTCCCCTCGTCCCCCCACTGCGTACCAAGGATCACCGTGAAGCTAGAGTCCAGCCCACACAAGGACTCGTTGGACGTCGACGGTAGTGACGACATAGTCGAATGAACACTACATATAGTAATGAAAAATATTGACCCCCTCCCCCCCAAAAATTAGCTATATGCAAAATATAGCCCTACCAAAACACCCCCAGAATACTTTTTTTCTCAATATTTTAAGTTCCAAAAATTCCCCATGGATTTTTCCAAAGCTGCTCGCCAAGCCCTAACACCATCGCCTAATCCCCTCCCCTTAGACCCCCAACGTAGCGCTACCTACCCCAAAAGCTGCCAGACAAGAAAGGGACAACACCACACAATAACCCCCACCGTTGAGGAACTGCAAGAACGCAAGATTCAACCCTTTTCCGAACCACCAAAGGTAGTGTGGCCATCATACTACCAATGCTTGTTACTCAACAACACCGAGCCTCAGATCTCCTACTTGGACGGCGAGCCCTCGGCCGGCGTAGTGGTCGCCCCTTCTTCCTTCTTCGCCTCCTCCTCCTCCTCCGTAGTCGTAGTAGTAGTAGCAGGTCGTTGCTGAGCAGCATTACCCTTCTTGGTAGTGGAGGCATCAACGACTTTGTGGTCCGATTCAAAATGATCGTTCATGTCCACGGTGTACATCTCGTCACCGGGGTTGGCGAAACCTTCAAAACCGATGGTGAACCGATCGGCATCATCGGGGGCGAGGGATCTGTCGAGAAGGAAAAAAAGGAGACAGATTTTGTGTTACTCCGCAAACGCGAAAACTCACTAATATTGTCAAAGTCGACATTTCGACACGTTTTCAAGGAGGAACGGTACGAAAAACATTTGCACGCATGCACATCCCTCCCCCTTACTGAACGATGCGCTTGAATCTGAGTCCCAACGGTTTGACCAACTTCTCTTCCCGAGACGACAGCCATAAGGCAATCTTAACACCCCCTGAGAGGAACTACCACTGCCCATCACTATAACAGGGGAAGGGAGAAAGAGATCAAATGTAGTGGAATCTAGCGGAGCGATGCACATATAGGTGTCCAATCGATCATATAAGGTATAGCGTACGCATGCGCATTCTGACCTAGTCCACACTGCTGCTGCCTTCATCAGTCCTGTATTCATATCAGACTACTAGAGACTACCTTTGCCACACTGAGTCGTATATTCCATTGTAAGCATAGATTTTGTCGCGCGCCACAAAATGATCCCCCCGGTTACCGACCTCTCCTGACACTGCAGACGACACCGCAAACGATGTCTTCGTTGATGAGGGGGTAGTAGCTCTCCCCGATCACCGACAGAACAACATCAGTCCAAATATCGTCTATAACCTAAAATGAAAAAAAATTAAAGCAAAAGTCGATCGAGAGCAACGATACCACGCACCTTCTGCTTCTCGGCCTTCACAATCCACCTGCCGCCCTCAGTGCACATAGGGTCCTCCCAGGCAGGGCTCACACCAGACCTGACATAAAAATGGAGGCGGCAGGGATCGAACCCGGGACCTACTTGAACACACTGTAATCCGCATGCACGAGCTTGCTCGGCTTGTGCATGTTGTTGGATATTCTCCAGAACTCCTCGATGCTTCCAAAATCGATAGCCTTCTGCTGATTCTGCTGCCAATGGTCCTTGACCGACTACGAAATATACACTCATGAATCGCTTCGCTCCGCCCTCTCCATTCACTACTCTTCCTTGCTGTGACATCACCCACAGGCTCCACTCATGCTGCAATTTATGATTCTCTTCACTATTCTCTGAGAAAAGTCAAAAAACGCTCACCGAGGATCGAACCCACGACCTTCCGCATACCTCCATTAGACTTCGCGGTCTCCCCTTCCACCACTGCGGCCTTTTCTTCCGGCACTACACTCGAGTCGACCTTCTCCTCCCGCTTCTCCTCAACCTCCTCTCCCGACACCTTCTCTTTCGTTATAGCTTCCGCCGGAGACGACATGATTACTGAAAATTTATTATTAGTGGTAGTTTATTTAACAAGCTGAAACCTGTCCCCAACAACTGATTATACATACCACGCGGAACGCAAAAGGCTCCCAATCTATACAAGTAGAAACGTAGAAGTAGATCATCGAGTGGAAGGTTAGTTACGCCGACGCTTCCCTCGAGACTGTTTTCGCCCTCCATCCTGACAAAAAATGGCCATTTATCGGACATGATTTGAATCTAACCATGGCGACGTAAAGATACGCCACGCACCGCGAAGATTCAAAGGCCCGACTCACCTCCGCCGGCCGCTTCCCCAACTGCCTAGGGTCCAACTCGACATTCCTCGAGGCTTGATGCTGAGCCTAACACAGTGAAGGGAAAATATCCTAGGTTCAAGCGCGGAAGATACGGAGTAGGTCCGCTTACCTTCAGGATATCATCATCGTAATGTACCACTCCATCTCCTGCACTCGAGGAGTCAACGAGATCTTGCAGAGAACGGCCTCCTCCTTGACGATGACCTCCTCCTGCGTTCCCAACCTAGCACGCATGCACAAATATCCAAAGGTTCACCCACCAAAGATACAAAACAGGCCCAGCTACATACCGTTTTCGAAGCTCTAACAATATCCCCGAGATTGCTCTTCTTCACCGCCATATCAGCTATCTCGCCCACCTCCTCCAAAGTAACAGTACCACCAGCGCTACCGGCGGACCTAAATTGGGCCTACTTCGTATCTTACCACGGCAACCTCAACCCTACCCGCCCATCATGCTACTCCTCAACCTCCTCAACTCCGCCTTATTCTGCTTAGTTGTTGGCAATCTCAACATATTATTCTCCTCATACTCCTCCCTCTCAGCATACTTACTCATCAGCCTACCATCCACTGCACCAATCGCCCCCCGGCCCTCCCCCACGACCAATGGGGCATCACTAAACTCATCCCGAAGATTCCTTACAGCATCAGACCTCTCAAATGCCGCCAACCTTCGCTCCGCCTTTTTTCGCTCTCCCGCCGTGACCTCCTTATCGTCCATCATCATGACCCCCCCAGCTACCCTAGGGGCCTTGTACGTCTGAGGGGCACGGCCCTCCTCGGCCCCTCCCTCCTCTCCTTCCTCGTCCTCTTCCAGGCCCTTCTCCATACTGGCCAAATTGGGTCGGTCCTCCAACTCCTCCTCCAACTTCCCATCAGTGCTTGCCAACTTGACCAATCTGTCGATCAGGTACTTCAACTTTTGCTCAATGGGTCTCATCCGTTCCATCAGGGCCCTCTGCCAAGCCAACTGCCCTACCACTGGATGCTCAGCCAGGCTCCCCCCGCGCTTCTTGAGGGCCATGTAGTAGCCGAGGTTCGCCATATAACTCATCAATAGCTGTAATTTTGCCATGATGAACCGCACCACGCCCTTCTCGGGCAGTTCCGGCAGGTTATGGATCGCCTCAGCCAAGGGCTTGACGCGGCTCTCCAGTTCGATGGAGCACTCCTTATAGTGAGCTAGGAGACTTCGATACTCCTCCAGCTCAGCAGCGGCCATATCGCGACGCCTAGACGGGGAAAGGTCCGTCATGAAGCAAGAGTAACTCGGAGGAGAGGGACTGCACATAGCCGAGGCTTACATCAACGTGCTATACATATGATAGAACCCATACGCCTATTTGGACGAGTTGGAAAAGGTGTGGTATGCATTAAGCCCATGAATATATATATATATATATATATA